TTAAATTATGAACTATTTTATTTTCTTCATCTATATTATTATTATAATTATTATCAACATATGTATATGTATGCATGTGTGTATGGGTATATATATGTGCGTGTTTTTATGTATCAATGTGTGTATATGTATATGTGTGTGTATGTGTATATATGTGAGTATATGTGCATATTTTTGTGCATATGCATATATATATGTGTGTTTGTATATATGCATATATATATATATGGGTATACATTTTTAGTTACATAAAATGGTCCTTTATTTATTTCTTAATCAATTTAAATAACATTTTTGATGGATTTTTTCAAAATTTTAGAATTTAAATTTTTTTTAAAGAATTTCTCTTTATTTAGATTACTTTAATTTTTTTTTTGATAGTTTCCTTTCTCGCCCGTGAAATTATCTTAAAGTTTCTTGCCACATACGTTATTCAAAGATTTAACGGCTATGTCAATCAGAATATTCTGTCTTCCTGAACCATATTCCTTTATTCACCTTCCCTTTCTCCTCACTAAAGTCTGCACATTTTCAATTTCTTCAGGCCTGGAGATTGCGTTCATATTTGAAATAGACTGTCGCCGCTTGGTGTTGTTCTTAGTACCCACTTTTTTATTTTATGAAATGGACAAAGTCCGACAATTATTTAAAGACATTTTTTTTTATAGATACAAGTATTTTAGCAAATGCTCTGTTTATAAGAAACAGTATTAAACAACATTTACCGGCCTGAATGTCCGAGAAATTTTCATAGAAAATATTCATCCTTTGAATGTACGTGAGAACTTCATGGAAGATTGAAGTTTATAAGCAGTAAATTCGACCTTGCCAATCGAACGATTCTTTGTGGCCGAGCGGTTAGGCACGTCAAGCTAAATGACGGTTCCGTATAGAATGCAGGTTCGAATCCTGTCAAAGGACGAATATTTTCAGGCCGGTAAATGTTATTTAATACTGTTTATTATAAACAGAGCATTTACTAAAATACTTGTATCTATAAAAAGAATGTTAAACATATAAATTTCTTTAAAAATATATATATATATATATGAACATTGAAGTCTACACCAAGAGGAGTGGTGACTTTTCATGCTTAAACGTAGACTATATGCGTTGTGTTTTTGCTCGACTATTTATATATACAGGTCAGGGATACATCGTGGGCAGTCTATTGTATTATTATAACGATTATTTATGAACTTTTCAATGGGATATTTAGTAGAAATAATATATATATATATATATATATATATATATATTGTGTAATGACGTGTATGAGGCTGAACAGTTCAATTTGACAATTAAAATGTCAGACTGCCCAGACATGAGTTTTGATTTATTTGATTAAGAATTGTCAAACGAGTTACAAACTTTAGATGAACTGATAATAAAGTGAGTCTCCAAAGAGCCCAGCTCACGCTTGTATTCAGGCTATTCTTTCTCTTTGACTAGAGAGTTCTGTTTACGTTACTATTTAACCCATAACTCAAAAAAGATAAATCTATACGTACTTTTCTCAAGGGTTTTTGCGGGAAAGTGGAGGAAACGATGAGAATTTCAACACGCCATGCTTTTCCCGCATTACGATCTACGAACGTCCATTCATTGTTCCCCAAAATGTGTGCATGTCTTAACGATCAGTTGTGCAAGATACCCTTCGGATTTTTCAAGGCGATGTAAATTCTTAACTGAACAGTAAGGATCCCGCCCCACATTCTCTTATGCTTTTTTCCTACAAAAACTGAAAAGGACAGGAAATTGTGAAGTGTCATATTCGATAACGGCCTGAAAGGATACAACACATAGATAAAGGAGATCGTTTTTTTTAAAATTAGGGCTGATAAGCAGCATTCATACATGAAAACGCAACACATTTGT